ACCACAAAGGAACGAAGGAACCAAGGACGACGACATGTCAGTCCCTTCGTTCCTTTGTTCCTTAGTGGTTCAAAAAAAGAACCCGGGAAAGACTTAGTGAATCGTCCGCCCGCCGTTGACGCTCAGCGACACGCCGGTGACGAACCTGGCGTCGTCCGAGGCGAGGTACGCCACCGCGGCGGCGACGTCCTCGGGCTTGCCGAAGCGGCCCATCGGCGCGAGGGCCAGGTACTCGTCCTTGGCCTCCTGCGGCGCGTCTTCGTGGCGTTCGACCGGGATCCAGCCCGGCGCCACCATGTTGACGGTGATCCCGTGCGGCGCGAACTCGGCGGCGTTCGACTTTGCGAGGCCGATCTGGCCCCCCTTCGCGGCGACGTAGGGGCAGAAGTTGGGCCACGCGCCGTCGAACACCTCGCTGGTGATATGAACGATCCGCCCCCAACCCTGCCGCTTCATGTGCGGCACGCACGCCTTGGTCAGCAAGAAGGGGCTCTTCACGAAGAAGTCCACCATCCGCTGCGCAAACGCCCAGTCGTACTCCTCGATCGGAAGCATGGGCTGATCGCAAGTCGCATTCGGCACGAGGATATCGACCGGCCCAACCTTCCCCTCAATCTCACCCAGCAAGTCCGCGACGCCCACTTCCTCGGTGACATCCGCCCGCACAAGACAGTGCTCACCACCAATCGCCTGCAACTCAGCAAACGCCTTCGTAGCGACTTCCTGATTGCCGTAGTAGTTCATCGCCACCCGCGCGCCACGCCGGGCAAGCTCAAGGGCGATGCGTTTACCGAGGCCACGAGTCGAGCCAGTGACGAGAGCGGTGCGATTAGATAGTTCAGTCATTTCGATGCTTGATCAACGTAAACAGCAGCCAATGGATTCCCCCCGTATCGAGAATCGCAGCAACTGCGCTAGTGATGAAAACCCAAGTTGGTAGTTGCACAAAGAGAAGGCAACCGAGGATTAGAAGACTACCTATGAAAGGGAATCCCGACGCCCACTTGAAATCCCCAAGAACTCCTCCGCGGGC